CAGAAGCCCAATTTTCGCCGGCTCAGGCCGATTTTGGCGCCGGCGAACCCAGGCCGAACCCGGCGCGCTGGGGAAACGTTTTTGGCGCGAAAAGGAGTGGGCCCGCCGAGTCAGTGACTCGCCGCCTTCGACGTCCTCATCGCCTCGGTTCCAGCAGGAATCAAAGCCAAGGCTGCCGCGCTGCCGCGCCGGTCAGCCTTCCATTGATGCCTCACGGGCGGCACAGTGAAGGCGCCGCGACGCGTGTCCCGCCCGCTCCCGCCACGCGGCACACAGCGGCAGCTCTCCCACCGCCCATCCGCAGCTATAAAAGCCGCCCCCCTCGCCGGTGAACGCACAAAGCTCACCACCTGACGCCCTTCTCTCTACATCTCGCCGCCGACGCCTCTCCCTCCCACTCTCTCCCCCGCCGAAGGCAATGGCCGAGCGCTTCCCAGGCGACGGCGCAGCAGCGAACGGCTTCGGCCCCCGCCATCTGCGCGAGGATGAGGCACGCCTTCTCTACGAGGCGGACTACCCGGCGCCCCCAGACATGCGGGTGCCGGGCACCTGGAGGCTCAGCGCCGGCAGGGTCCCGGTGCCACCCACGCCCACCGGAGCAGCCCGGCGCGCCGAAATCGCCCGCATCCGGGATTCGCTGCCGAATCCGCAGCGGAACCAGCCGAGGTTCGCCCCCGACAACAACCCGCTGTGGACGTCGTACTTCGAGCGGCGGCACAAGGAGCAGGTCGCCGCCACCAACGGCGTCGAGCCCCGTGGCCGTCTCAACTCCGAGGGACGGCGCCTATGGTGGGGCGTCCCAGGCTGCACCCTTGAAGCCGTCCTCGAGCACATCGAGGTCGGCAACACGCCGCGCCTGGAGTACCCTGCGCCCCCCTCCTTCTCTCGCCGCCGCGGCAGCTCCTGGACGCCGCGGCAAATGGAGACGGCGACGTCGTCGCCGTCGGGTTCCGGCTCTCTGTCCTCCGGCTCGCCGGCGCTTCGCCCCGTCAAGCCGGAGCCGCAGGAGACGCCACTTGGGCGCCGCACCCGCGGTGGCGCCCTCGTCATCAACAAGGGCGGCCCCTCCCCCCGTTCCCTCCGCCTCGTCCGGCCGAAGACCGAGTCGGGGTTGCTCCCCATCAAGAAGGAGCGCGCGGAGATGGCCGCCGACGACGAAACCGCCCTCAAGTGGGCGAAGCTCGGCGCCGCGGACGCGACGAGGGCGGCGTCGTCATCCTCGATAGCGACGACGAGGACACGCCCGGGCCGGTCAGGGGTGCAGCAAGGACGGTGGCGGCTCCGGCGGGACGCAGGGTAGCGGCGACAATGACGACGGCGGCGGCGGTGACTACACCCGGTTCTACAGGCTCCTCGGCATGTAGAAGGCGGGCGGTGGCAGCGGCATAGTAGGGCTAGGCGTAGTTGTTTTCTTTTTTTTTGTAAAAATTTGAATGAAAATCGCTGAGTTTGTGCCGTGTTTGCGCCGATTTGGGGGCGGCGCCTGGGAACACAATCGCCCCCATGCCGAAATTAAACGCCGGTTCGGCCCCAGACAGCGCTTTTTCGGCGTCCTGGGGGGCCGAACGGCTGGAGATGCTCTGACACCCCACACCCTAATACCAACATTTTTTTGGCAAGCTGAAATTTTCGCCCATCAAGCCACCCCAGACTCACCACCTCCAGGCTGCTGTTGCCACCACCAAGGGCAGCACCCGGCTGACACGGAGCCGGTGAGCAGAAGTCACTGCAGACGATGTCGTCATGCCAACCACTGCCTCCGCCACTCCCATCCGCCCCCTCGGCACCGTCACTCCCGGTACCGACCCAATG